CGATGCAAGCGCAGCTTGCTCTCTGTGGTGGCAGGGCATAGTCCCTGCTCCCAGTGCTGCTACGCCCACATTAGCTTTGCCCTGCCACCACTTGCCAGCTGGCATGGAAGGGCACAGAATACAGGCTCAGCAGTGCTGGGAGCGGGGGCTGTGCCCTGCTGCCGCTTGTCCCCTTGTGCCTAAAGTGAGACGTGCCCATATTCTGCTCTCCCTCCCGGCTGGGCAAGCAGCAGCAGGGCAGAGCCCCTGCTGCCATGTCCACATCCTGCCCCCCTCCCCGAGTAGTGTGCCCCCCACCCTGGCTGGGCAGCTTGTCCCAGCCCCAATCTCTCCCTTCCCCCATGTCCCTTCCCTCCCCCATACCCCAACTCTAACAGACTTACCAGCTGGAGGCAGCTTTCAGCTGCGTGTTTAGTCTATGGCCGAATCTCTGAATTGGCTGAATCTTTTCTGAAGCCTTTCCAAATTGATTCGGAGCTTTTACTTGGTCTCCTGATTAGATTCAAATTTAAAGATTCAATCCCCAAATCAGGCCGAATCTCCTCCAAATCAAATCAGCTACCAAAGCTTCACACAGCGCTAGTTGCTTGTTTTCTACCTGGGTACCTGACTGTTCTTAAAATTCTGTACTTTTTAGATTTCAGGTTCTTTTGAAATACTGTAGATAGTATTTCACCCTAATTTGGCAGGGTGGGAGGGGGAAGGAAAAATATTTACTTATAAATTTGTTTATCAAACTCTAATTTAACCTGGCATATTTAGTTATTTGAGATTTTCATATTGAAGATGGCTAAGATATTTTTTTTATCGTAGGGGGAAAAATTGTGGTTGAAGATATTGGATCATTAGTTAATGTACAAGGTTTTATAAAGCATATTAAGAGATTATAGAGGTTTATATGCTTATAGAGGTTTCTGAATATCATTATCTTTACACTAAAGTATTACGCTTCCGTTTGTTTTACCTAGGAGACAGATGCCATGTGCAATCTAATCCTGTCTTTAGTTTATTACTTCTATAACTTAATGCCACTCTCAAGAGGATCCAGGTGAGTGATTTTCTTAGTGCATATAAATTATTCTTGGTGTATATAAATTATCCATATCTCTAATGTCTAATTGCATTGTCTATCAAAATGTTAATACAGTAAAAGTTCCGTTAACCGGCACCTTACAAGCCAGCATGCTCTATTAACCGGCATGCCGGCTTGTAAGGTAAAGTGAAACTGGAAGTGCCCACCATGGCACTTCCGGTTTCTCAGAGCCCCTATGGCTCCGGGGCATAACAGGCTGCGCAGGGCCCACCTCCCTGTCCTGTGGGGCCCGCAGGGCCCACGGGAGGGGCAGCGATGCCCCGGACATGGCAGGAGAAGCAGTGGCCCAAACAGGCAAAGTCACTTGTTTGGGCCGCTCAATTAACCAGCATATTTTGTTATACAGCATCCCCCATTCCAGGGAGATGCTGGATAACAGCTTTTACTGTGTATTGTTTACTCTTTGGACAGTTTGTTAAAGCCTGGATGATCTGTATCATGACTAGTTTAGGGTGTGTCCCTCTTTCTACCATCCTGGTGGTCAAAACTCACTTACCCTGTTTAAATGTTTATATGTAGATAGTGTAGATAGATTTTAAAATGTATACACACCAGGAACAGTAATGAATGGTCCATCTTCATAAACTTTGGATCACAGCATGTTACTCTATATCACTTGAGATAAGGTTTCCAAGGGTACATGTAAAGGTATCTTTAGATCAGTGATTCTCACTCAGGGTGCTGTGGCATCCTAGGGTGCCATGAGATTTTTTTTCAAGGGTGACAGACAATGTTAGTTCCAGGACATATGCAACCAAGATTTGCAAGATAAACCCAGAGATTTCAAATAGGAAGAAGCCATTGTGTTAAAAAACAATCTGATTTGTTGTGGTCTTTCTGAGTTCTTTGCAAAAGAAAAATTGCTCTGTTTTTTTCTGTAGTCAGTGAAAACTTAAGAGCTGGCTCTTTTTGAGGGGTGCCTTGAGTTTATTGAGGGATACCTTGCGTATGAAAAGGTTGAGAGACACTCTTTTAGATGCATGCAGCATAATTTACCATACTACTGGTAAAAGCAAATACCCCGTTAGTTATTGCAGACATTTCATTTTCTGACTCTATAAAATACATTTTCTGTATTTTATGCCTGTATTTAACTGAAGCTCCAGGTTAATTCAAGGCTGCTCATATCTCCAGGGATTAGTCAAGGTATTTCCATTTCTGTGGCCACATTTTGCTTAACTCTTACAGTACAAATTAACTGAACCTATGTTTACCAAATTTTGAAACTGAAAATATTGAACACAAAACAAGTTTTAAAAAAAATGGGGGGGGGGGAAGAGGGCGGCTTCCTAGTCTGCTGTGAAGTTCATAAGCTTTGCAAGGCCACATCTGAATTTATGGAAATAAACTGTTCTGTTTGGTAGCAGGGGATGGGATGAGGAGCAGTGAACTTAATTGTAGCAGGGGAAATTTAGATTAGATACTGGGGAGAACTGTATCACTCTGAGGGTGGTTAAGCACTGGAACAGGTTACCCAGAGAGATTGTGAAATCACTGTCCTTCAACACTTTTAACAGCAGTTTAGACGAACACTTGACTGGGATGGTTTAGTTAGGGGCAATCATGCCTTGATCAGGGGGCTGGAGTAGATGACCTCCTGAGGTCCCTTCCGACCCTAGTTTTCTGTGATTCTCTAGAACGAGAGTTCATTTTCCAGTTTTAGCCCTGCAGCATGTTAAGAACTCCATGGGCTTGGAATCATGATACTGAGATCTTCAGGAGCAGTGTTCCTCAACAGCTTTCATCTGCCGAATCATGGATTCAGCCCTGTGCAATGTCAGAAGGCAAATAAAAATATCACCACTACCCCCCACCTACAGATATGAAAGCTGATTTTTTTCACAAGGTTGACAGATGTCCATTTACTTCTACCTCTAACAAGTGCTCTTTTCATCTTTAATGAAACATGTTTCTTTAATGAAGAAGTAATGAATTGAATTTTGTTTGCATAATGTACCATCCTAAACGAAAAGAATAATATAATTGAAAGAGACTTGTTGTCTTTTTTTTCTCTTTATAGTGTGATAGCTTATTCGGTGATCATGGGAGCCCTGATGGCAAGTGGAAAAGAAATATCAGGAAAAATCCCAAAAGGAAAGGTAAGTACAATATAAAAATATACTGACCAAGCCAAGAAAATGGATGTGATGCTTTTAGTTATGGGGAAGCAACAGAAGACATGAACAGGGGCTATGCATGTTTATATTGAGAGTGTGTCAGCCCATTACACCAGTAGCTTCCAGCCTTAAGGTACTTTTAAGATTCATTGCCGTCCTAGATTTTTGGGAAGACGGGTATGCTTTTCAGGCTCCCTTGTAAGCTTTGAAGCTGCTGTTCAGCTTACAGTATAGACCAGTGGTTTGCAAACTTCTTTGGCCAGCAGACCACTGTCAACCCTCAGAATTTTATGAACAACTACTTACCCTAATAGTCACTACTTGAAAAGGGAAGGCCCTGTATGATCCACAATCCTTCCCAAAGTTAATGTTTGTAACCTTGAGGCCATATTATTGCGGTGAGCTCCTGTCTACGGCGTCCATTCCAAATGAATCTGACATTTTACTTCAGCAGAATGGATGTCTTAGCTCTAGTTTAGAATAATGTTTTCTGAGCACATAATAGCAAGGTTTCCTTTTTATTTTCAGATGTAGTTCAACGTGCTTACAATTTACAACTTTCTGAATTGTCTGAAACCCACTTGTGTGAGAGCACCTCTCCCAAGTTTTTGCCAGAGAAATTATGATCTGCTGAATTAGCTTTGTTGTTGACCCTGGAGTTTAAAGTGAAGATCTAATCTAACGCAATTCAAGTAACTCTCCCTTAGTGTATTCAGTCATATCTGCAAACTTTAATGACAGAAGCTTTTGCATCTGTTCACTCATGTTAATACTGCAGATTCAATACAACAGGAGGAGCGAGTTGGATTACATTCCTTTTTGCATCTCTAACAGAATCATTGACACATTTACCATTGGTTACAAAACAGTGGTTAAAGTAGCATTATACTGGTGAACAAAACAGTTTGATTTGCAGAAGCATTTTTGGTGGGGAATCTGTGAAAGCAAAGGAAAGAACAGTCTTTCTCTTCAAAACAATGACTTATTAAGGCTAGTAGCATAAAGAAGAGATCTTAGTATGGAAAAATATGAGACAATAAACAGAAAACCTTATACTGCTCTTCATGTTGCTTGAGTTGCTCTTTAATTTGAAAATTTCTGACCAGCTTCAGATGTGAGCTTGACCAGATGTCTTGGCTGTTTGCAGTCATTTACATGCCAGTAGTCATAAACACAATAATTGTTGACTAATTCAACACTTTGTTCAGAAATCCAGTGTGGAAAGTTGGATTAGTACAAAATACTAGACATACCCAGTATTAAACTAGATTTGTTGGTACTGAATTTTGCAAGAGGACATCATCCAATACTGAAAACAAACACCAAGCCTCCCAGTTTTCTTGTTAATAGGGAATTCAATCCTTGTTTTAAAAATACATTTTATTATGGGTCTTTTCTGGTATTAAATCATTAGTGTCCATCAATTCTTAATAAGAGATTTGGAAGATATTCTGTATTTCACTGCAGATAAAGGGGAATAATGTTTCACAATCAGGGACTTACATTAGGAAATGCACCAGGATTTAAACCAGTAGAATTAGATTAGAGACTTTCTTCACAAATGTACTGGCAACAATTATGTATTATAAAAAGCCTTATTTTCTTGCTCTTCTTTTAATTGTGTTTCAGTTGGTTGATTTTGAAGCTATGACAGCTTCTGGTTCTGAGGCCTTTAGCAAAATAGCAAGAAGCTGGATGAATTTAAAAAGGTAAAATCCTTCTTTTTTTGTTGAAGAGAAAAAATTCAAAGCTATTATCTGGAGGTTTACATAAAAAATTGTATGTACGTCATCACTCCTTAAAAAATAGAATCTGTGATGGTCCATAGCTTGTATATTGTGATGCAGCTGTCAAGGTGAAAGCTGATAGCTGCATCCCTCTGCAAAGGCTTGCACACCTCCACACACATCATCCCACTATAAAGGCTTACACAAGTCCACACATAACTAAAACTCCATTTAATACCTTTACTAAAGTTTGGTTTGATACATGATCTTGGTCCTAAGGTGTGAGTTTTACCATTAGTCATTGTCAGGATACCAGGGTTCAGTCTGTGGGCATATCTACAATGCAGTGCTGTCCAGAGTTATCTGATCTAGCTCTGGTACTAGAAGCACACTACTCGGCCCAGGTTAATTAGCTCCAGTGGAGTGCTGTGTTAGTATGTGTCCTATAGACATAGTCTGTGTATCACATTTTTTGAACTATTACTTTGTAAAGAATTTTTTAAAATATACAAACAAAACAATGTAGCATGAACAGGCCAAAATGTAACTAAATACTCTGTCATACTTGTTCATATTATGAAATGGTGGTTTTAATGTTTAAGTTTTAAAAGTGAAGTCATGGACCAGCCCTGAAGCCTAAGAGAAATGTAAGGTGTTGCAGCAGATGGGGGTAGAGAAAACTGTAGAAAACTGATGTTGACAAATACCCATTCTGTTTTGGTTTATACACATCAGTGAAGAGTGCCATATCTAGCTAACTACACTTGTGGTCTCAGCAACACAAAGCCTCTGAAGGCATTTATGGTGGAGGAATGAAAAAGGATTAAAATGTGAATGATCAAATTGAGGATTTAAATCCTATCACAAGACACTTTTTAGTGCATGATTTTATAAAGTCAGCAAGTACACTTTTTATGTAGGCTAGAGAAAAATAATTATTTAGTTGAAAGTACCATTATAAATTTTAGGTGTCATATGCAACCTGGAACAATTTGCTTGACAGTAGGTTACAAACCTATGAAAAAAGGAGTCTTGCTTCTCTGACCTTATAAGCAGTCTGTTTTCATTCACTTGTTACTCTCTAGGGAAAATCCCTTTGTAATAAAATTTATTTTTTAAGTTAGGCCAGTGGTAAAATATTAAGGGAAATTTGATTTTTTTAAAATCTGAGAAACAAAGATGACAAAGTGTGAAAATAGAATATTAGCACTCTATTTTTTTTCAGGTGTTTGGCACTTAGACTGTTTAAATTTAAATTTGTCATGGATTTATATTTATATGTGGATAAAGGATTCTCTTAATGTGGAAAACCAGATGTTTTCAGTGTTCATGGCAACTTGAATACAGTGTTAATCTCATGATAGATTGTAATGTCACATAGTCAACCAATTTATTGCATTATAAAATGGCAAGCCAGCCACAAAGATGTTCCATTAAATATGAAACATTTTGTGGCTGGTTTGTTTGGCACTTTAATCTGAGTGTGTGGCATTTTATTAAGCCTTGCTGTGCAGCCTGGGCATAGAGAGTCAATGGGCTCCTCCCCCCCTACCTGCAAGTTTAAATCCTTGCTGTCCAGTCAGGTTGCACAGAAGGGCTGCAGATGTGGCTGCAGAAGGCATGGCAGGATGCACACTTTTTTGAATCTGAGAAAATTTCTCAGATCCCATTTGTTCAACTAAATTAATGTCTGCCAGCAGCCTCAATGTAATGTTTCAAACATAAGCATATTTTAGTTTCTATATATTTAGATTTCTGAGTAATAGAGTAAATGCATTCATTCCTAGCAAACCGCTCTTCACATCAAAAAGTAACACACACTTGATACTAGAACATAAGAACTGCCATTTACTGGGTCAGACCATAGGTCCATGTTGCCCAGTATCCTGTGTTACACAGTGACAGAGAGTGGATACCGAAAGGGAGAGTGAATTGGGTATGCCCAGGGGGTTTTTTCCACTGTTCCTGCCACTTGCAGCCTCTAGTATTTAGGGTCTAGGAAATTCTGATTGAGAGACTGTATCCCTAATTCCCATGCTTAATAGCTGCTTGTGCCCCTTTCCTTCAAGAATTTGTCCAGTCCCTTCTTTGAACCTGAGTAAAGTGTCAGCTTCCACAATATGTTGTGGCAGTGAATTCCACACTTTAATTACACTTAGTGTGAAAAAATTCCTTTTCCTTACTGCCTGCTAGTTTCCACCTTTGTGATTATTTTCCATTAAAAAAAAACAACAAAAGTTTAAATGGTTGGAATATAGACTGCTGTCCCAGTCCTTAAGATGATCTGTTCAGACTAGGTTATAACAATGAAGCTATTTAAGGAACTCTGACAGCACTCATGGTGCTTAGTCCTTCCTTTTTTATAGTTCAAATCTGATAAATCCATCTGAATTTCATCCAAACTAAACATATCTACTTAAATGAAATAAAACCAAACTAAACATGCAAGAATTCCAAAGTTGTACCACTAGTTAAAGCACTTATTTTCCTTTGCAAAACTGAATGTGATTTATGCTTACAAGTACATGTAAGTGAAAGTGCAAGGAGTTTCAAACTTAAATCAATGGATTGGAATGTTTAAGAGGGTTTTTTTTAAATTAGTACAAACATTGTGATTTGGACCTTTGAAAATATATGATGGTATTTAATACTCTTGCTGTGGAAACAATAAATAGGAATTTCCTAACTCATGTTTAATCTCACAAGATTTTGCATTAATATATTAAAACAGGTTTTGACATCATCTTTTTTACTATGAGTAAGGTAATGTTACACCTGGATGCAATTCCAATTAGCCCCTTCCAGTCTGTGATTAGGGGTTCAGTGGTTATTTTGCAAAAACAGCATGGCTGTTTGAGATAAGCTAAGATTTATTTCTCTGCTGTTACTATATCAGGCTACTCGTTTATATGGTGATTGTTTCATGACAGCAGGGTAGATTGTGCACCCTTATAGACTAGTTAAATCAGATGCATAGCATAACCTTTCATAAGCAGAGGTCATCACAACGTCAGATGCCCCCTGCTTACAAAATCTCAAGCTACACATCTGATTTAGTTAGTCTGTAAAGGTGCAAATCTACCCCACTTTCTGCCTAACTTCAGACTAATGCAGCTCATATGCCAGGCTGAGGCCAGTTGTAGAGGCATAAACTATGATGAACAAGGTATTTTAGACGGCAAAAATCCCTAAACTTGAGCCTTTAAACGTGTTGGGGGAAGGGATTGACAATAGTAATGCAAATTTAAAATACTGTCTTTCAAGTCACTTCAAATGTTGTGCAATTTATCAACTTTGGTTTCTTTTTTCTAGTACTGGTTCTTACAAAAGTCTGCCATCAGTATCAGAGACTTTTCCAACATTAAGAACAATGATTGAAGTGCTGAACACAGACTCGTCTCGCTGTCTCAAAAAAACTATAGTTTCTGTATAATTTATACAAATAAAGGCCAAGACTACTTGCTTTGTAAATTATTTTTGAAAAAAAAATTATGAACAAATGAGGTCCTTTGTTACTTTTGATACAATTTTTGATAAATGGAATACTTGAACCTTTTTCTTTACTTTAGAAACTCTTGATAGAAAATGGAAATCCTTGCCATGACTGAAAATGTATGATGGGTGTGGGAAAGAGGACATATAAAGGGTTGATTTTTGTTTCCATGCATAATGTAATAACAAATAAATTTACTTCAGAGACCAAACTGAAGAGTGACATAATTGAAAGGGAAATACCTTACACTTGCTGCATATCTGGGTTTTGTTTTTAAAGAATGTTTTTGTTAATGCACTTTGAAAATGCCATATCTCTTCTCTCTTAATTGTATACATTCAGGGTCTTCAGAAAATTCAACTGTGAAACTGTTATGAAGCATTTACTTGTGTGCAAACTATAAATACACAAAAACTTCACAAAATGTAATCCTGTGAAGGAATGTTTCAAAGAACTCAGATAAATAGTGTCTGGAACACTTGTAAAGAAATTGGTTTCAAGAAAACAAACTTTGGAAATAAAAGCAAACAAATGAAATGTTCAAAATGAGCCTTTCTTGGTGAGCAAATCAACAAGTGGCTAGGCTGATGGAATGCATGGAATTGCCAGAAAGGAAAGCTGATATACAGTCCCTCGGTGTTTTGTTTTGTTTTGTTTTGTTTTTAATGGAGAAGACACTCAAGACAGTTGAGAATGCAGAACCACATAGAGGGGTGCTGAGCCCATAGGCTTGATTTTACACTGAAGTGATGAAATGCAGTAGGCCTATGTGAAGTGGCTAGTACTCGCTTTGGATTTGGATTCAGCCAATTCGGGGGACAGTGATTCGATTTGGTGATTTGAATTGCTGTCCCAAATCGATTCAGCTTAATCTGATCCGGAGGTTCGGCCACCACCAAATTTGCTGAATCTCCGAATCAAACAGGCCCCATCCCTTGCCTGTTGTCCCAGCCCCGTCAATGGCTGCCCCTCCCACCCCAGCTCCCGACTCTTTGAAAAAGAAAAAAAGCTCTGCACTCACCAGCTGCTGCCAGGTGGGGAGGGGGGTCAATCCCCACTGCAGGGGAGCAGGCAGGGGATAGGGCCTGGCAGGGGTCCCCTTGGTCTGGTCCCCCCTCCTCCAGTCCTCCCTCCCCCAGCCCCCTACTTACCAGCATGGAGTCTGGATCCAGCTTCCCTGCAGTGAGTGGGGGCTGGCCGAACTGTCGAAGCTCTCCAAATCTTTTCTGAATTGATTCAGATGGCTTTGAATCGATTCAGACCTTTTTATTGGTCTCCCGATTTGATTCAGCTGCCAAATAGGTCTGAATCTTCTCCAAATCAAATAAGCACCCGAAGCTTCGCACTGCCCTAAAATGCAGCATGGGAAGATTTTGTTGTTTTAGGATAGCCCATCAGGCAGAACTAATTCAGCTCAGACAGTGGTGGGCACACCCCAAACTATTTACTTGTAGCTATCATCCAAAAGAGCACCAGCATTTGTTGAGAATCCCAATAAAGTACAGCTTAATTTCAGAGTCTGGTTGAGTTCTGTGGCTCATGCAGTTTTTATTTTCTGGGTGATTTTAAGCTAGGTGACTTCAGTTGGCAAGAGTGGGCCAAATGGCTGGTTTGCTCAGTAACTTTACCCTGGGCAAATTATTTCAGTATTCCTTAATGTTTTTGTCCACCTCAAAAAAGTTAAAAGGGCTGAGCTGTTTCTAGAACCCTGTCTTTCAACTCATTCACAAGTTTTTTTCTTTTTTAATATCAATGATCTAAATTCATTCTTTGGTGCTGAAGGAACTTTCTGGGCTCATACTCTTTGCCAAAATGGGATACTCCCTTTTATTTTCCCAACCAACTCCTTTCCCTTGTAGACTAGAAAACTTTTGTGGTCAAATGCATCTGACTGATACAGGTGTAATACAGGTCTGACTGATACAGGTGTTTGCTCACTTAATAGTGATAAGCAGACAACCCCAAATCCTATCTTTCCTCTGAATATCCATCTACATGACTTGTTGTTTCTCGTTCTCTTCTGGACAGATGGTGCTGCTACACCCTGATAGTTAAGCTAAGATGCATATGACTTTCTCTTGTTGGGGGTAGCATCTTTGAACTTAAGAGGATGTCTTTTGAGGAACAAGTGGAGTCCCATGAGAGAACAGCAAAGAACTGGGAGGGAGGATCTCTAAGGACAGAATTGAAGGGGATGGAGGGGCAGCATGGGAAAGGGAACAATTCTAAAAATTGCACCCCTAAAAGGGAGATAAATATTAGATTTTAGTAATGTTGACAGAAAACTATTCTGAATGATTTTTACCATCGCTCCATAGCTAAGATTTTACCATCGCTCTAAAGCTGAGTTCATTATACGCTCGGTGTTGTCACTGCGCCCAAATTTCAGTCACACTCGGGGTCAAAATTGGTAGGTTAGATGTGGGTATCATGGATTATTTTAGGGGAGTTCTTGCTTGGTGACCCCAGCCTTTGGTGCTTCTAAATATCCCCTGAAACCAGCCTAGCCATAGCTTCTAGAGTGCAGAGCAAGCCTTGGCTCCTTCAGTCTCTTGAGACCCAGGCTTTTTTACTCCTTTGATTCTCTCTGGTTATCCACAACCCTTCCACTGGTATTACTTTACAGTTCAGCTTCTGAGAGAAACTTGACCTTTTCAAAGGGAGAGACCGACATCCCAAGTTCCAAGCAGCAATAGTGAAAAGGCATGTAGTGGAGGGTGAAGGGTTAAGCAATACTTCTGTCCCCAACCTAATCCAGACAGCTCTGAGCCCCAGAGCAGATGATCTGTTTTTCAAGCTGCTCCATCTAGTAGTTTCTTTCTCTCTCTCTCTCTCATCCTTTTCCAGAGAGAGAGGGAATGTGAGAGAGCCCCTGTACCATAGGCACCGAGTACATGGGGGGCCTGGGGGCCCTGGCCCCCCTCGGGAAGAGGGTAGCATGGCCATCCGTCCCTAATTGGGCAGGACAGTCCTGAAATTGGAACATCAGGTCCCAGTCTGGGGTCGCATGTCTCCAGGACAGCATTTGTCCTGGATTCCCAGTATCATGCAGGGATCCATGTTTTCCATTCACTGAGGGGGGAAAAACATGGGGAAAAAAGCTAGTTTCCCCTTGCAAGCTGGCACAGTTCCAGCCTGCAAGGGGTTGTGGAGAGCAGGATGCAAGGAGTGCCACATCCATGCGCGCACATGCACATGGCCAGGAACACAGCCCCAGGCAGCGGTGGAGAGCTCCCCCAGCTGCCTGCAGGTAAGTCTGGTGGGGGTGGGGGGACAGACAATCATGGCCTTCACAATGAAGGAGGGAGTGGGGCAGGGCCTGAACCTGGAAGCGCGGCCCAGCCAGGGCGGTGCCTGGGGCTGGGGCTGGGGCTGGGGCAGTGAGTGGGACAAAGCCATGGGTGGATTGTCCAGGAGGCATGGGGGCAGGCTCCCTGTCACTGCATGCATCCCCAGGGAGGGGAGCATGGTGGGGAGTGGGGCTCATGCCCCTCAGACTTGTGCACAGGGCTGGGACAGATGTGGGCTGCCTGCCATGCTACCCTCTCCCTGGGAGCCCCACGCCAGCTGCACTGCCATGGCAAGGTGCCCCCTTGCCACGGCAGTGTAGCTGTGTGCCTGACAGCAGCGGGGGTAGCAGTGTGGAGTTGTGCCCTCCACTGCTGCCAGGTGGGCAGAGGATACCGCACAACAGCAGGTGGCATGGCTAGTGCAGGGCTCCTTGGGGGAGGGCAGTAGGGTGGGGAGCCCCAAGCCTGCAGTGGGCAGCCCGCATCTGCTCCTGTCCCCCACACGGGCTCTGCTCAGCTCTGCTCTAGCTGTGCTGGCGAGGGGTGGGGAGGGCATCATCTTAGGGGCCCCCACCAGCAAAAATAAAAGTCAGTGCTTATGCCCTGTACACAAGAAAAGAAGATCATGTGATTAAACTATTTCCCTCTCTGAATCTCTTCCTCTTCTCTCTTTCCAATCTGTTATTGAACCAAATTGTACTTTCTGTTCCACAACAGGTATGTCTCTGCATAATGCAAATGCTGCTATGATATCATCTGTTCACTGTATGCATGTAACTCTCACTTAATACTCATAGAATTCCCTAAGACAGTAACTCAGTGGAAGTGTTGCTGGTCTCTGGTTTGAGATCTGTCTCCACTGAAGGGTTCTAGATCGGCTGCTCAGCTCTCGGGCAGATATTTTAATGATTTAGAAGATGTGATTGAGTCCACACTTAGCAAAGTTCCCTTTCCCTGCCTGATCTATCACTCTGCTTCCTGCTCCCTGTCCTGTGCTGCCTGCCCCATCCCTGCTCTGTTCTATGCCCATGCTGTTTGTGGCACAAGTGGTGCTGGTTGGCCACCCCTGAATTAGATTACTAGATATAATTGGGAAGTCATGTGACTTAGCTTCTCCAGCCAAGAGTTGTATCAGTATAAATGGTCCAACAATAGGCTTCCTAAATAGTTCTCTCTTTCCCCCTCCCCCCCACATCACTCATGCACACACACACAAACATACCCATCCAGGAAGTTGCAGAAATGGGCAGCCCATTTACTAAGGCTTATGTCTGAGCAGAGCAAGGTTTTCTGAGAGCATGTTTTCTATCCACTCCTACCTGCATACAACAGGAATGTTGTAGAGCTGGTAATTCAAGGACTAGAATTGATCTGAGCGAAGTTTGTCTATAAAATAAGATTTTGGATCTATGTGCCTTTGAGTTGCTACACTTGAGCACCATAAACTCTAAAAATGCCCAAGAAAATCAAGAATAAAAGAAAAGTATCTCACGTGGAAACTCAAGCGAATGGCACTCTTTGCTTTAGTCCACTGTGTAAAATTGCCAAGCACTTGGAGCAGCCATGTGTGAGATCCCTCTGATCGAACAAATTTGACCAACAATGTGCATCTAAAAGCCTCAAATGAGCATTTCATTCTCCAGTGCAAAATAATAAGTTTGTGAGCTTCTGTGGTTGTTTTCAATTGTTCCGACGGCCTGTTTTGTTCTCCCTCCTGTCTGGGCAACATTTTTTCCCTTCTCTACGAACTACCATATCCATTACATGTAATACCTATAAAGTTCTCAACTATGTTTAAAAACAGTATTGGTTTCATAACACCTCCCTGAGGAAGGTTACTATTTCCTCTCTTACAATGTGAAATTGAAGCTCTGCAGCAGTCCGAAATAGCTCCCAAATGTCCTGAGTGCAGGGAGGGCAGGGAGAGGAGCAGAAGAGAAGACTTTTCCTAGTCAGCTCATCCACGCTGAAACAAATACCGCTTTAAGTATGTTTTGTACTCTTTTCATTTTACTCCCTGACTGGTTTTATGCACATTCCCTTTTCTTCAAAATAAAGTCACTCAGAAGAAAAAATATATATATTATTTGGCATGAAATGGCATATAGGTGTGGTGGCTGTCTCAGAGGAAGAGTGACACAAAGACTTGTTGCTTCTCTGGGAGTGCTACACATGACTCATGAGCTTAAGTCAGATGTTCTCAAACTAGTTTAGCAAACAGAACAGGGTTAGATGACTGGGCTAGCG